CTAATAAAAAAAATACAAATAGCACAAATCAAAAGTACATATAGCACATACCCTATAAAAAAAATATATATGTTATGTTTTATATGACAAAATTACACATAAGACACTCGGTTTAAAAAGTCGACACCATTTCCCATTGTGGTTTAAAAATTATGTAATTCTCCATTGTGTTTTTTAAAATTTGCACAGTTTCCTTTCTCATAATTTAACTTCACATAGTTAAATTTTAATATAATATAATTGTTATGCACAATTCTTCCCCACACCATATTTTCTATCAACGTCTCAAATTCATAGTCGAGTTTATATCTTTTATTTTTTTTCTCTCTGGTGACTCTCTCTACATCTATAGCATTTTGTGTCTATTGATTCTCTCCTCTTATAAAAATCATTGTTTAATTAGGTGCATATTTCAACCAAATCCAGGCGGTGCATTTTTGGGATGAAGATCCGTTGATCCATTTTTGGTGAAATCGACGGAGGATGAAATTTTACAAGTAAAGGAGAATCTTTAAGGATTTAATGAGATTTTATGGTATTTGGATTTTAAAATCCGATTAAATTAAATTCATGTTTGGTTAAAAAATTGAGGGTGAAATTGAAAATGATGAGATTTAAAAAAGACGTCCAAAATCCTACAAATAAGAGATTGTTTTTTAACGGGTACCCCTATTACTTTTAAATCTTATTCTTGAAATTTTAATTTTTACTTTTGTATCATCTTATAAAAGAAATAATAGTATTATGTTTATATAGAAAAATTAAATAATTTTAAAATTAATTATTATTTGAATTATATATTTAATTAAATTTATATTATTTTTTATGGTACAATATTTTTTTAAATAAATTAATAAATTCATTGTTTAAAATTATTATTTATTATAATTTTATTTGAATTATAAAATTACCGGGATGACAATGAGTCGATTCAGTCTGAACTGATATTCATCCTAAATATATATTGTTAGATCCGAGATTCAAATTGGATCCGATTATACTTGATCCGACAAAGACTATACCCGGTAAGATTTGATGGATCCGAAAAATCCATTTTTTTTTTACAATTCTTAAATTTTAATTTAAAATTACACATGTACTGGACCCAACGTATATTAAAATTTATGTATTTTATTAGAAAAATATTATAATAAAATAATGAATACATTAAACTCAAAAAAATATTTTTAATATATTTATATGTTCGAAATTATTTTTTCATATATATAGTTGATATATTATTATATTACCCTCAAACATGACCCGAATTCAGACATAATATTCAATTGGATTCAACTTCAAATAAATAGGTCAAGCCCGATCGGGTCTCAACTTCAAATAACTTGATTCTTCTTTGTTACTGAGAAGATAACCATGAATTGTCTTTTTATGACTCATCAAATAGTGGGCTTACACATACAAACCTATATATATTGAGCACAACAATTAGTATAAATAGATGTGGCTGGATGTTAGGATTAGAGGCAAAATTGCCTCTATGGTATGGAGGAAGGTTAGAAAGTAGTGGAGGGAGGAAAATTGTCAATGACGGCAATCGAAGGGTTTGCATTACTGGGAAAATGGAAGTCCTCCTCGTTTCTGTACTAGTCAAAAATTGAAAATTCAAGCGATGAACACATACCTCAAACTGGATCACAGTCTCAACTAACGAATCCTTGAAATCGATTGTCTTCTTGTTTTTTATCTCTTCTTGGTCATAAATAAGACTATGGAAAAAGAGAGGACGTGATTTAAACAGCGTAAGAAGACTGGAAGAGTAAATTTGGAATTTCAAATGGGCTTTATGAAGCTAATGCACAACTTCTCTCAACATTAGTGTGCAATATTTAATATTTATATATATGTAAATTCCTGGGGAATGAGGCTGAGTTTATGGGCAATTTTGCACCATTTATATTTAAACTGTATTCTACAAAAATATTATACGCTCTATAAGAATGTATTATATGTTTTTAATTTTATGTTCTTAATTTTTATGTTATGTATTATACTAATGTAAAAGGAACATTGCGAAAATTGTTCTCTCAAATTATTATTTTTAAATATTTTTTTTGATTTTTCAAAGCAGGATATTAAGTCTTTCAAAGGCTTTATTTTTGTACTACAGCGCCGAAAAATCTCATGTGCGTATACATAAGCTCACCGTTGCGAACGTATATATGGTTGAGGCGGACCTGTGGGACAATGTGGCAAATGATATAGCAATTATTTAAAATTATAAAAAAGATTATTATTTTTTTTATTCCAATTTAGTCCAATTGTACCCAATAAAAGAGAAAAAATCATTTTTGGTCTCATTTAATATCAAAATTATCAATTTTAGTTCCATTAAAAAAATTATCAATTTTACTCCCATTCAAATGAAAATTTATCAATTTTAGTCCCAAAATGGTTGACTGGGACTGAACACGGCCGTGTTGGATGACTCAGAAGGTGACTGGGCGTCCCAAGCAGCCAACACAGCCGTGTTGATGACCCTGCACTCGGCCGTTTTCCTGCCCGTGTTTTGAACACAGCCATGTTCCTGCCCATGTTCTCATGTTCTAGGCCATGTTCCAACCCATGTTCTCAACACAGCCATACTTTAGGCCATGTTCACGACCATGTTTTCAATATAATCATATTGTAGGTAATATTTATTATTTTTTTCACTTTTTGTTAAAATTATTTGATATATATATTTATAATTTAACAAAAATATTTTTTACAATTATTTTATAATATAAAAAATAATCAATTTTTAATATTTTTAAAATAATAATATTCTAAAATAATACTCCCTCCATCCCAGGTGGATATCTGGGTCACTGAAATTTAAGATAAGTATAATTAGTAGATAATTAAGAATGTATTAGTAAAAATAATTATCATATAATATAAATAATTATCATATAATATAAATAATTATAAATTAATATTAAAATAACTCATTAGTTTAATTAAAATTAAAATTAAATTAAAAAATAGTGTGTAATTATTTTCCAAAAAAAGGAAAGTGACATGGGATGTGGGACGAATATAAACGACAACGTGGACATGGTAAATGGGACGGAGGAAGTATCATTAAAAAATATATATTAATATATTATTATTTTTATATATTTTAAAAATATTAAAAATTGATTATTTTTTATATTATAAAATAATTGTAAAATTATTTTTGTTAAATTATAAATATATACTCCCTTCGTCCTATGTAATATGAGTGTATTACTGTAAACACGGGAATTTAGATAAAGTATAATTAGTATGTAATTAAAAATGTATTAGTAAAAATAATTATAGATTAAGATTAAGATAAGTAAATAATTTAATTAAAATTAAGAAAATTATAAAATTTAAAATTTAAAATGCGATTAAAATGCATAATTATATTTCCAAAAATAGAAATGACTGTGGGACGGACAAAAATAGAAAATAGAGACAAATTATGTGAGACGAATGGAGTATATATCAAATAATTTTAACCAAAAAGTAAAAATAATAATAAATATGACCTACAGTATGATTATATTGAAAACATGGTCGTGAACATGGCCTAGAACATGACTGTGTAGAAACATGGCTGATTGAGAACATGGGCATGACTGTGTTCAGAACATGGGCAGAACATGGTCGTATTCAGAAGTACAGGGTAATCAACACGGCCGTGTTGGTCTCAACACGGCCGTGTTAGCTGCCTGGGACGCCCAGTCACCTTCTGAGTCATTCAACACGGCCGTGTTCAGTCCCAGTCAAGGGCGTCACCTTCTGAGTCATCCAACACACGGCCGTGTTCAGTCCCAGTCAACCATTTTGAGACTAAAATTGATAAATTTTCATTTGAACGAAACTAAAATTAATAATTTTTTTTTAATGAAACCAAAATTGATAATTTTGATATTAAATGGGACAAAAAATGATTTTTACTCCTAATAAAATAAACACACAATTAAACACCGACAGATCATCTATCCTTTCCCAATCACAAAATTCACCCATCTTCTCTCAAGAACCCTAAAATTCCCAATAAGAGGGTTGAATTTTGAATACCGAGTAGGGTCTAGGTGCGGGCGACTCAGTATTGTTATTATCATGTGAAACAGGCGAGCCGGAGAGACGAAATCGCCACTGATTGAAACTCTGAGATGTGCTCGAGGAGGAAGACGAAGAAGAAGACGGCGGCTGTGGCTGAGGCGGCGAGTGAGTGGAATTAAGTGGTAGGGCTGAGCACAGTTTGAGTGCAATGGCGGAAGAATCCGCAAGAGAAGAGGTGAGATCACGACGGAGTTTTGAGCTTCGGCTGATTTGCTTTCATTGCCGCCGGAAATGCAAATGGAAACAGAAATTGATTGATTATTGACTATTGAGTGAGCTGTTATGTTCTTAGTCTTTTTCTACGTAGAGAGAGCGTGTTTTGTGTGTTCTCGAGAGAAGCGGGATGAATTTTGGGGTTGGAAAAGGATATAACGATTGGTATTTAATTGTGTTTATTTTCAAATATACCAAATTGCAAATAAAAAGAAAGAAATTTTTGAAATTTTTGATTTTTTAAAAAATTTTCAAATAATTGTTACATCATTTGATGCCGATTTGCCATGTCATTCTACTTGGATTGAAAAGAGTGTTTAAAAATAATAATTTGAAAGATATGATAGACAATATTTCCCTATGCGCTCATGAATACCAAACAGTGTGTTGCGCTCATGAATATCAAACAATGTGCTATTCAATAATACCATGCGCTGCCCTAACCGCCGCCACCATATATTCATATATTATATACATACATTCAATTCCCTTGCAACTTTACCTCCTCTCTCTGATAACGAAGAAAACGGGGGGCCGAACGAACATGTTTAGTTACGATGGCAGCTCTTCTCCTCAATTAAAGCTGTTTAGTCCTACCCTGAAAATTTGCCCATGTGCAGACCACCACATTGCATTGCATTGCAGTTCATCTATATCTCTATCTAATCAGGAAAAACCAAAGCATCGCGGAGACTGAATGGAAATAGATAGCAGACTGCAGCAATTACTAAAGCAAGGAAGGCGTGTATTTGAATTAGATGCAAAAGAAAGAATAAATGATGTTCTATCTATTTTATCAAGTCTGGGTAGGGTAGGAACCGATGAAGGGAGGGGTGGGGAGGGGAGGGGAACTGAACTTACAAAAATACGGCAGAGGGAGGTAGGGAGGGAGCGACAAGGCAAGCCATCCTCATCAAATTGCCTTCCTTAACAAGTACAACTTTACAAATGGATTAGAAAAGAAGAAGAGTGAGAGAGTGAACGGCTGGCCCAGACCAGAACAGGCTAACATTACATGATTCTGCAGTTACATTTGGATTCCAGCTTTGGAGGATACACACTGCTGCTGCTGCCAAGCTTACTTCGACACCTCACAATTTGTGGAGGAGGGCTTGAATTTTCATCGGCTTCGCCCATCAACTTTGTTTCCAATCTTGTTTTCTGGGATCTAGAGTTCCGCTTCCCAAGTGTTCTTAAACGCACATCTCTTCTGTCGGAGTTTGTTTTATCAACAAATGTTGTTGTCGGGGTCGTTGCTATATCTGCTGCTTCATATGCAATATTGTGGACAATGGAGCTGCAGAAAAGGATTGTATCTGTTGCTTCTTCCAGTGTCAGGCTTCTAGACTTAGTTCCACACCTCTCATCTTCCACCACAATTCAAATACAAGAAGAACAAGTCAAGTTAGAAGAGAAACAAACAAAGATAGTTAATTACTTGAGATGATGATGATATCACAAAAATAAATCCACATTGCCAATGCATCTACCATTTGCACCAAACAAAACTCACATACCTGTAATGTTGTTTATCGGAACAGACATGCCGTATTTTCCGACAGCAGTTGTCACAGCATCATCACACATCACTGAAACACAAAGCTCCGTCAATTTACCTCTACACTTGTTTATGTTTGGTGAACCAACAGTAGCCGGCACATCAGCAGAAACATTATCAAAATTCCAGACTTCCATTTCTGAGATAGCATCCAAAGAGCTTCGATGGGGAACAGTGTTCTGACTGCTAACACATGAACTCTGTGTGCCATCTTCCCTTTCACCACAAGTTTGCGACACTGACAATGTTTCTCCATCCAAAAAATTACAACTTTTGTCTGCTATGTTGCCCCCACTCTCATGTGATTCCTGTTCTTCTGAAACCACTGAGGTACGTCCAGAAGAATCATCCATCAATTGGCTTGATAGTTCTGCTGCATTTCTAGGGATTATGTTGCTCTCTACAACAGTGCATGTACTTTCCACTTCTGTACATTCCGGAGCCAGTGATTGATCACAAGTTACTCCTAAAAAATCTTTGTCTTCGCTTGAGGCTACTAGTTCCAAAGAATCCACGGGACAACTTGGTGCCACGCTAGAGACCTGGTATGGATTACCTGAAGCACAGGACAAAGATGAGACAGAACGCCGGTGCTTTGAAGAAGTGACGTATCTGTAGTTTTCTGTATCTGACTTTTGCCCGATTGATTGCCAATGAATGTGAGTGTCAGATTGCCTAGAGGACCCTAGATCAATTGAAGATGATAATGATGCACTACTATGGCCAATGGAGCTTCTCATGCTAGTTGAACTACCCCTCACATAAGAAAAATCATCATAACTGGTGTTACTAGCAGTGAAACTCTTGCTGTGGACGATATATCTTTTGGCAACGTTAGATCCCTTGAACATCAATGACACTCCCGTATCTGTATCTGTATCTTTATCTGGTGAAACAATGGCCTTTAATAGGCCACCCGGAATGCCGGCAATGCTCTCGAGATCGTTGTTCAACTTAGGGCCCCTTTCACCGCAACAGTTAATTTGTACTGAACCTGTAATCAAGTCAGATTGTTGTGAATCCTTACGCAACCCACACTCCAGAATCTGGAAGAAATCCTCTGTATCATTCTCAGATGTCATGACAGGCCTTACTTCTGAATTCACTTCCGAATGCTTGCACTCATGGCAGAGCCATTGATCTCCTTCCATAGATAATTCACTCGGATGAAACCCAAGATTGCATCCAGAGCATACTTCCATATCTTGAGACTCATTCATATCTGAAGAACCGTACTTTCTATCCAAGACAGCAATTTCAAGATGGCTTTCAGCAACACCAGACTGAAAAGGAGCTACACTGACATCATTTTCACCGTGACAACCAGATGTGTCGTCTGCAGCTTCTGTTAATGCTTCTTCATGTACGGCTGAATATTGCCCAGCCATAAAATCACAGGCCACATCGTCCGGGTTTTGAATGCTTTCTTCCATATCAGGTGCTCCACTCATTCCTTGAAAAGAACTTCCATTGCTGCTGGTTGTAATAGAAGAATTTCGGGATGCCACCGGACATTGATGCACATTCGCTTTCCCTACATAGAATGTTGAGCTAGGGACACTGGACAGTAGGGGCCTAAACATATTCTGAGGACTCTTCCGATCCTGTAAATTGGTAAATCAAAATGTATGAACAGAGCAAGCCATAAGGTTATATACAATTTAAGTTCTGTAGCATTAGTAATTGTTTCACAGGTTATGCACGGAATGATAAAGAACTACTCGGCAACTCACTCTCTCCTTACGATATGATGATTGCACATTACATCTAGATATTAAAACTTTGGACCATGATCAACCAGGAGAATCTTTAAGAGCATGCCTCAACTATTCAAAAATGCATCAAGTGGCAAATAATAAAGCGAATAGTATTAAGCTTCTAATCAGGGCAAATCAAATTATAACATTTAAAACACAATGAGAACAGCAAAATAAGTATGTCACGTCACAGCTTGTATTATAATTGGGATAGGTGCATAGAAGTGATGTGCATGAGGGTGTCTTTTTATAGAGACAGACAAAAGCTTTATCAACTATAATTAGTAATTACAGGCTAATAAAACAAGCAGAAGAAGCAAAATACAGGTTTAATAAAACTAGTAGAAGAAACAAACACCACAACCAGTGGAGTTGTACATCAGTTTACACCGACCCAACTAAAAACAACTGCCCGTGAGAATTAGAACTCTTGTAGAAACTGTCTCTCCAATAATATATTCAATTATCATCTTACAAACAATCAGACACTTACATTTATATGCATGCTTATGTTGTGTATTATTTCCATTCCCTCACCATACCACGTCATCTCATTGTAATATAAAGTTCAATGTGTGAAAAAATAAAGTACAATAAAATAAAATAAAGAAACAGATCAGATCAGATCAAAGTTATATATCAACAAAATATATAGTATTGAAAGCTTGTGAACCTTGCAACAATACACAGTGATATTTTCATTTTTAAAAACAAAGCAAAGTGTAAAGTTTCACCAACAAAATGAGTTAATCCCTCTAAAGTCAGATTGGGTAAAAGTAGTTTAATTTCTTTTGGGCTCCACAATTATCAGCTACAAAATTATTGAGAACAGGTATCTATAACGCCATGCATACACAAATTGTCAAGGAAGCTAGTAACTTTCCAAGTCATCAATGCATCAACAATATACACACACACACATATATATATATATATCTAAGGACAAAAAATCTTGAAAGCCAAACATAGAAAAAGTTTAGGATCTTGCTATAATCACTCTATCTATCAGGCAACTCATATTAGACAATAAAGTAAAAATGAATACCATTTGTCGAAGTACCAAGTCGAGGGATCGTTTTGGAGCTGAATTTGACAATATCTTATTTGGTTTTTTTGAGAAGCCCATAGCTCTATTATTTGGAAAAGTATCCGTGTTTTGTGAGACAGAGTGATCTAAACTGGTGATACAATTGGATTGTTGTGAGTCTCTATCATCATTACCAGATGACACAATTGAGCTTTTGCTGTAGGAACTAAATTGCCCCTTCTCTAGACTCTGAGATGAGCCCATGCTTCTGGTAGCAGTTGGAGAAATAGATTGTCGGTCTGATCTAGAGCTATTTCTTGATGTTGGCGAGGACCCTCTCACGTATGATGCTGGCCTATCAGCCAGTGATGTTCGAAGATTAGGAGGAGCTTCTGATAAAAAGCCTGAAATGTTAGATTGCCAGGCTTTGATTTTTGGCGAGGCAGAGCTGCCCCGAGCTGTCTTGATCGGGGAGGTTCCTCTGGCCCTCGATGGTCCAGACGTATCAGATGAACAAGAGTTTGTTCTCCTAGGTGATGGTGTGCCAAACCTTCCAGCAGGTGACGGTTTACTCGGTGGGGGAGACAGTCGTCTTGATGGAGAATAATGTCGCAAAGTAGGAGGTGGGCTAGCATGTGTAGCAGAAAACTGCCTACTTCTATGCTGCAACGGACTATTACCAGAGCGAGGAGGAGGAGGACTAAAACGGTGAGGACTGGCACTACTTCTGGCACTTGGGTTGCCCTTCTCCATCTAAAGTAGAGGAATAATTCAAAACATTGGCAAACAGGAAACCATCGAATCTTGGCGGCTTTGGCATTTAAGAACTTACCGTAGATGATCGCGACATGGCAATGGGCTGACCCCTCAGTCTACCCCTAGGGACAAGAGAAACTGGCGGTGCCTCATCATCCAATGAAGGAAAGAGCGGAGTATCAGGAGGAGTAATCAACCTGAAGTTAATAACACAACCGTTTATTAGTTTAAAGGAAAATTCGCATAGGCAATACAAATCATAACGCAGGACCTCCTGCTAGTAATTCATTACGAATTCATTTCTTAATCAAACTTTAAATTAATAATACTGTTTGCTTTACAGACAAATATATAAGATTGATCACAATTCAAGCTAGTCTACATTTGCAAACAAAAACAAAAAGATAAGGGACGACAAACTGAAACTCAAAAAGAAAAGACAACAAACCTAAACCTACCAATCGTAATCATTTTTATCTTTTTCTGCCTTGAGCAGATCGCTGCTCTCTCCACGAGCAGGAATGGAGATTCCTAGCTTGTAGTCAGAGAAGTATCTTAATTTTGTCGCTGCCGACATAAATAATAAACAACAAATATTGTCAGCCCCGAAAACGCAATGAATGCAATGCAATGCATTATAAAGAAACCATGTCGATCATCAAAACACACCTCACATACTGAACAAACTCAAAGCTAGCTAAATTAATAAATGATAGGGTCAGAGAATTTACAGAAAACATCGTCAAAGTCATCATTGTTGGAGTGGAGCAAGAAAGCATCCAGCTCCCGATTCTGAACCTCATTGAATAGGGCAAGATCATGATCATCATCCCTCTCGCGAAACAGAATGGCGCTCTCGAAACTCTGCCCTCTCTTATGATTGTCCACCCTCAGCCCCCCGGCCCCTCTAACTCTATTCGCAGGGGACACTGGCATTTCTCCAATGAATTCAATTCACCAACTAGCAATAGCAGCAGTCAGTCTCGATCAAACTCCTTCAAAACCCCAAATTCACAGCTGTACATCATGGAAATCCAACAAGTCTGCTCAACTGGGTTTTTTCTTTTTTTTTTTTTTTCCAGTAGAAAATTAAACAACTGATGGATGGATGGATGGCCTGCTGCTTATATTTCCACTAACTCACAGAAGAAGAATGAAATCTATATACGCATTCGCCTAGTTCCTTCATATGGATTCCCTTCCACTGCACCAAAACCACAAATAAACACTTAAAATTCACGCAAAAATTCAAACCCACTTCTACAAAATGCCAAAGTTAAAACAGATAAAAATCACACTAAAGAGTACAACAAGGAAAATCGCCAAACCGCGCCGCAACTTCATCTCCAAGTGGTGCAGCAGGAACAACAGTCCCGAAGATCACCATTTCACACTAGTCCCCGAAGCTTAGCAACGAAACCCTCGTATGCTTTATAGTTATGGGCACTCAACTAGCGTGGATCTGCAGAGGGGTTGAGCAGATCAAGAGAAACTCAGGATCAGGCCTCCAATTATTTAAAATACACGAAAAATGTAACAAATGCCCTAAACCAAGAGGTAATAGAAACAAAATTTCTACAATGAAAGGAAAATATAAAGAAAGGGCTCAATCATTGTTTACGTGCGAGGTGGATTGTGAAGTGGGAAAGCGGAATGTGCAGCAGCAGAGGTCGAAGGAAGAAAGAACTCGAAATTGCAGAGAGGAGAGAGAGGAAGAAAGAGAAGAAGGAACCCATAAGAGAAAGTATCGTACTTGGTTCTATGCTTAACACTAACTCACAATCGCTCTGATCAATTCTGTTCATTCTTCATTTTCTTTCTTTCCCGCTTGCTTTTTGCTTTAGCTGCTGTTCTTTTACTTCTTACAACCATGCGAGCCCAGCCCAACCCAGCTTCCTACAAGCATAAAAAATTTACAAAGTACCTCATTCATGTGTAATAATGAGTCCCAAAATTCATGAACCTGTTATCAGGGTGGAAGAAGATTTTTGATGGGTCATTATCAGGTTCAGGGTGGGGTGGGGTGGGGTGGAGTGGGGGTCATTAGTTAGTTAATTACGATTAGTGTTTCATAGCTAATTAATTCGTTAATTAAATGAGCAAACTTAGATGACACAGGTCAAAATTGGGGACCATTGCACAGGGGAGATGGCTTTGGAATATCAAATACTTTTGCTTTTTACAAGTGGGTACGCCATGGCGTATGTTAGATTCAAGTCACAGAAACCTCTTTCCTATCTTCTTTTCATTTTGTTATTTAATTTTATTTTGTAATCACGACGGATTGTGTTTGTTTGTGAATTTTTAACTTTGAATTTTACTCTATTCATCATCTAGTTAAGTGTTCAAATGTTTCATTATGAATTTTAATAAAGAAGAATAATTATTATTTTTTTATAATAAAAATATATAAAATATCAACTTTTTGCTAAAAAAAATACGGTTAAAAAGAAAATTGAGGTGATAGAAATAGTACAAATTAAAGAAAAATAGCAAAAATATAAAGATATTTTTAATGTTAAGTACAATAACATAAAAGAGGTAAATGAGACCTTTAGAGTTGAGTATTATTTATTAGGAAAAAAATCAATTTTGGTCTCAATATAACCAAAATTTATAAATATTGGTCCCAATATAAAAATTCGTCAATTTTAGTCCCAATATAAACAATTTCAATCAATTTTGGTCCCATTATAAACAATTTCAATCAATTTTGGTCCCACCTTTAAAAAACTAACGGAAATTGTTGACGTGGACACGACGGAAAGTACATGGCCATATACAATTATACACGGTCATGTTGTTAAATGGTCATGTATATTTCAGTGTATAATTATACATGGTCATATTGTTACACGGTCATGTACATTTTTATTTTAGTTAAAAATTATTTTTTTTTTGTTATATTTTTTTAAAAAAATATTTTGAATTTAAAATAGTTGATATAGTTAAAATAGATAAAATCAATAGTAATTATAATATAATTAAAATTGATATAAAAATTTATAAGATATATTTTTTTGAAATGTTATGTCTAAAATTTTATTATTCATAAAAAATTTTTCTGTTACAAACATCTAATTACACAACTATTTTATAATTTTTTATATTGTAGTAATATTAAAAATTAATTTATTATTTCAATACAATAATTGTACGTTTGTAAGAGAATTTTTTTTTTTTTTTTGCTAAATAGTAGAATTTTAAACAAAATCTTCCAACAGAACATACTCGATAATTATTTATATTTGAACTAAAATTAATACATTTTAATTATATTATGATTATTATTGATTTTTTTCCATTTTAACTATATCAAATATTCTAAATTCAAAAATAAAAAATATAACAAAAAAATAAAATTTAGACCGAAACTGAAAGGTACACGGCCGTGTAGAATTATACATGGCCGTGTAACAACATGGTCATGTATAATTATACACTGAAATATACATGGTCATGTAACAACATGGTCGTGTATAATTGTACATGGTCGTGTAACAACATGACCATGTATAATTATACACTGAAATATACATGACCATGTAACAACATGGCCGTGTACTTTCAAGGTCAACTGCCACGTTACCTCCGTTATGTTCACGTCAGCAATTTCTGTTAATTTTTAACAGTGAGACCAAAATTGATTGAAATTGTTTATAATAGAACCAAAATTGATTGAAATTGTTTATATTTGGACTAAAATTGATGAATTTTTTATATTGTGACCAAAATTGATTTTTTCCCTATTTATTAATTATTTTTGCATACCCTCCTAGCTATGTAAATTAATTTTTTTTTTATTTTATTATAATTGATAATTTTGGAGTTTCGTGACATTATATTATATTAGAGCTGAAAATTGGTCGAGTCGTGTCGATTTCGTATCGAGTTAAATATTTTAAAGGAGTTAAATAACTCAATCTTAATCCGACATATTTATTATCATGTCGGATTCGTGTTGATTTGTTTATTATCGTGTTGAATTCACCTGGCCCGCTCCTAATTTTTTCAAGGCCCGGGACAAAATTGAAATAGTGAGTCCCTAAATACATATTTTTATATTAGCATAATAATAAAAATAATTTTACACATATTTAATGTAAATGTTAAAATAAAATTAATTTTTATATATTGAAAGATCAAAATATAAATAAAATTAATGTGGCGTTTTTTAGTATAATATAAAAAATCCAAAAAAAAAATACTATGATTTAATATTTTTTAAAGAATTTTTTATCAATAGTCAAAATCTTTAAAAGAAATTTTCAAACAAAAGTATTATTTAGGGTGTTTTCTTTTGTTTGGTTTGAAAATATTTTTTCCATAAGGTATAACAAATTATGTAAATAATAAAAAATAATTAGTTTTGTTTACTCGTAAGATTTTATTTTTGAGTTTACTATTTTAACTTTATTTTCCCGTAAAAAAATCAAATCAAGCATTCAATTTTTATTTAATTTATTATACTAAAATCTAATTTTATATTCAAAATATCACATCATCTATTTCAATTCCAAATTTTACTATTCAAAATCAAAACTCAAAATCAAAACCCCTCAAGTAATATATTAGTTGTTTTGAAAAAATGTACTGAAATTTTTTTGGTAAAATAATAAACTCATTATATAATACACAGCTTTTAAAAAAATCACCAAAAAGTATAATAGAACATACAAATTTTAATATATAACCATAAAAATAAAAATATAAAAAAGACAACATTATTCTCTATCATATCTTCATAATTTTACATAATTCACAACAAAAATATATAAAATTATGCAATTAAATAAACACACTAAAATATATAAATAAATAATTAAAAAATTAATATAAACATAATTTATTTAAAAAATAATATGAAATAAATATTTTATTTAAAAATTAATTTTATTTATTCTTTAAAACATTTAACAATAATAATAGTATATATATACTAAGTATATAAGAGTATATATATATATATATATATATAATTAATTGGGGGCTCCTGTGGCCCTAGAGAAAAAGGGCCTGGGCAAATGCCAGGCTTGGATTCATGTTAGCCTGTATAAATAATTAGATCAAAATTTTTCATTCAAATTTAATTATGTTTTACATGATATCGTGTTATGTTAAGTTTGTGTTAATTCTAATGTAATGTGAACAATTAATTATGTTGAATTATTTTAAATTGAATTTAATTTAAATTAATATGTGGGTTAATTATTAAATTAATTATTTTACATATATAATAAATATATCAATTTATATTAATATATTATAATCGGGTAATCGTGTTGGATTCGAGTTGAGAGTCTCAACCCTAACCCGACATGTGTATTATCGTGTCGGGTTATGTCAATTCATATATATAATTGGGTTAAAATTCTTGAGTTAAATCCAATTATTTTGTGTTAACTTGTGTTGGATTATCATGTCGTGCGATTGGTTTTTGCCAACTTTACATTACATGCCGATATAGAGATTAAAAACTAATATAATTTTAATATAAAAGTGAATTAGCGGTAGGTGAAAAGAAAATTTATTAAAGAATTAATAAATAAAATAATGAATAACTAGAAAAAATTAGTGGTATTTTCTTATTATTTGTTAAAATGGATGTAATGAAAATATATGATTTGTTCACTTTGCTTTTTGAATGAATAACATTCTCAATTGGCTCGTATTAGAAAAGCTATTGTCATACTGTCATAAGGTCGTCACCTCCAACTTCAAGCTCTTCAATACAGTGTTAAAATTAAAATTAATTATAAAAATATTTTATTATTTAATACAATCCGATTTAAAATATATTCATAAACATGAGGTTTCTAGTTAGAGATTTACATATACTGCAGAAGAACAAGTTTACTCACTTAGCTCGTCTTTCTATATCCCAAAACATCCCCTGTCTCGGGGGTGCTCTGCATATTTGAAATGAATATTTTTCTTAAAAACTGTCTAAAATTAAATCTATTTTAAAAACTAACATAAAATATGTCATGTCATACTTAAAAATGAAGTTTAATCTCCCTCATTGTTAAAATAAGTGTCATGTCATACCAATAGTGAAGTAATGAGATAATACTTTCAAACTCGACAAATCATGCATATACATATATAGATATAGTAAGCAGTCGGAATAACATTGGCCTCATATAATTTCACTATATCTGTCTAAGTGAGCAACCAGAATAACCTTAGCTCCATAACTATAAGCTCACTAAACTATCATTAATAAATAGTCGGAGAACTCTTGGCTCAAGGAAGGACCTGATAAACCCATACTAATATAATGGTCATCCCGTCACTTCCATATACCCACCATGTGACCCCCACAATTAGTATATGGATAGCCGACATTATCGCCGTTAACCAAAAGACGCCCCATAGTCTGTGGTAGCGAATATATGACCCTTCTGTCTAACCCTATCACGTGTAATGCAGTAGAATCCATGCAACCTGAAATCACCTAAGGGAAACCCGAAAACTCTACTCCCCCTCGCACGCCCTAACGAGATCACGTTTGGAGTTCGGCATATGATTCTAAACTACCAGTAGACCTCACCAGTAGCCAACCCAATGAGTGGAATAACACCTAACATGAATGATTAGACCAATTATGTCTCAACTACAATGAGTCTAATCCGTTAATGACCGTGTGACTAAGTCATTCAGCTATCCGACTACTATCGTCTACTATTGCCAAAGTGTTATGGTACATTGGGGGTCAGATATCCTAGTCCTAGATGATACCATTGCCTAGCACTACCACATACGACAACTCGATATATACATTAAACATATTTGATAAATTGTGCAATATGTGTACAATATGTGAAATAAGTGAATTTATCAAAAAAGACTAGTGAGACAGCTCACCTATCCTTTTTTTCAAAAATTCACCAACACGATCAAATATGTATATCAAATATCATAGAATGAAGTCTCACACATGCATACGTACAGACATATATAAATATATACAT